GCACACACGGACATTAACAGGAACACATTCTCTCTCGCTTGCGTGTGTGAACACACCTTATCGCTACATGGTCTGTCAGTTACATCCCTGACTCAGATTCAATCAATTTTCAAGTGGTAATTTTACTTCAAGTGCTCCTCAAAGGAGTGAAACGTTTAGGCCTTACTCTACTTCAAACAGTGTCAAATAGACAATTGTAAATTGCTTCCATGATTTGATGCTTGGCTTTCCTCTCCAGATCTTACTTAGAGAGAGAGGGAGAGCTTGTCTCCGTGCCTGTGGAATGTCAGTATGCATGTTAGCCTCATATTTGATAGCCGTGCATGTGCAGAGACCACTGCATGTATCAGATGGAGAGTTCAAAGGTTGAGACATCTCCATCCCAGGCACTGGAACTGACAAGACCTAGATACTGGTTGTTTATCACTAAAATTAATATACTATACTATATGTGTTCAGTCTCTACAGTTATTCTACAGGGAAATAATTGATTGTATGTATGATTATGGAAAGTGAGTGTTGAAGTAGGAGGAGAGAGAGAACGAGGGGGAGAGAACATCCTGTGAATGTCACAGTGATCTTTATATATTAAATAGTCTCGAAATTGACCATAAAAGCATTGCATACTGCTGCTGTGTCTACCACTTAATTGCGTAACCTCTTACATAATGGATGTTTGCAAGCTATTTTCCCCACTAGCTCAGTAGAACAGTCATCAATAAAGATGAGATGCAGAGATGCTGCAGGGCTCTTTCTCATTAGTGTGCGTGTGTGTGTGTGTGTGTGTGTGTGTGTGTGTGTGTGTGTGTGTGTGTGTGTGTGTGTGTGTGTGTTAGGAAGAGGGCAATCGAGGACCTCAATGACCTTACAGGGAGCAGTAGTATTAAGAGGCTGTGAGTGACAAACTGCTGACCCTGGGGATAAAACACTCTGGGTGGGATTCTCTGAATCCAGCTGTTAATATGGCCTTCTGATAATGGACTGACTTGGTGAAGATGAATAGGCAGGAAATATGTTCCAACCAAAGGCTAGTATTGTTTGGGCCTTTCAGAAAATAAGTTATTCTCCTTCTTTGGCTAGTAAGGACTGACCATGCTCATTTGCTTGTCTCTTGTTAAATCAAGGATATGGTGATTGACTATAATATGTGGGTGTTGTGTGACTGTAATATTGTGTTGGTGTGTTGTACAGGCCCATTCCTGAGGAGGCTTCTCAGTGGCGTGAGTCGCTGGACCATGTGCTGACCAACAGCTGTGAGTATGCCTAGATATACAGGAATGCACGCGCAAGCACTCTCACACACACCAAATAAGTCCTTACGAAAAGCCATGAGGTCTTGTGGAAAACTATATGTTTCTTCACCCCATCATATGAAAATGTACGAGTCATGCCAAATACAGAGCAGACAGACTAGAATAGGATTACAGTAACTCTGATGGTATTGGTTACAGTAACTTGGATGGTATTCACTCTCGTTATCCAGATCCAGAGAAGTAACATTTCATAATCCATCTGTGGACATAACGTCTATATTATGTAATAAATGACACCTGTGTCTAAAATTAAACTGCTGGAATATATGCCTTCCTCAAAGGCCTGGTCTAAATGTTCCAGAGTGGTGCATTCCTCCAGGCTGTGTGTGTGTGTGTGTGTGTGTGTGTGTGTGTGTGTGTGTGTGTGTGTGTGTGTGTGTGTGTGTGTGTGTGTGTGTGTGTGTGTGTGTGTGTGTGTGTGTGTGTGTGTGTGTGTGTGTGTGTGTGTGTGTGTGTGTGTGTGTGTGTGTGTGTGTGTGTGTGTGTGTGTGTGTGTGTGTGTGTGTGTGTGTGTGCGTGCGTGCGTGCGTGCGTGTGCGTGTGTGTGTGTGTGTGTGTGTGTGTGTGTGTGTGTGTGTGTGTGTGTGTGTGCACGCGAATGACCAGACACAGTGCTTCAGTCTGCTTGTTTATATTTGTGTCGGTAGAGATAATGAGCTCACATTCACACACTGGGAAGCATTATTTACTCAGAGTTGGTTAGAGTAATGATCTGCTGGTGGTGGTATGTAAACTGCTCTGCAGCACACAGAAGATTATTGATGTCGACACAACAGACAAAGCAAAATAATATAATATAATGCTCAGGGATGCTTCAATAAATGCAATCACTTCCCGATAAATGATGAGACGGTATTATGCCAGGAATCTCTCCTTACTCACAACATACAGTGCATTCGGTAAGTATTCAGACCCCTTGACTTTTTCCACATTTTATTACGTTACAGCCTTATTCTAGAATTGATTAAATTGTTATTTTTTTCCTCATCAATCTACAAACAATGCCCCATGATGACGAAGCAAAAACAGGTTTTTAGAATTTTTTGTAAATATATAAAAATGAAAAAAATGAAATATCACATTTACGTAAGTATTCAGACCCTTTACTCAGTACTTTGTTGAAGCACCTTTGGCAGCGATTACAGCCTCAAGTCTTCTTGGATGTGACGCTACAAGCGTGGCACACCTGTATTTGAGGAGTTTCTCCCATTCTTCTCTGCAGATCCTCTCAAGCTTTGTCAGGTTGGATGGGGAGCGTCGCTACACAGCTATTTTCAGGTCTCTCCAGAGATGTTCAATCGGGTTCAAGTCCGGGCTCTGGCTGGGCCACTCAAGAACATTCAGAGACTTGTCCCGAAGCCACTCCTGTGTTGTCTTGGCAGTGTGCTTAGGGTTGCTGTCCTGTTGAAAGGTGAACCTTCGTCCCAGTCTGAGGTCCTGAGCACTCTGGAGCAGGTTTTCATCAAGGATCTCTCTGTTCTTTGCTCCGTCCATCGTTCCCTCGATCCTGACTAGTCTCCCAGTCCCTACCGCTCAAAAACATCCCCACAGCATGATGCTGCCACCGCCATGCTTCACCGTAGGGATGGTGCCAGGTTTCCTCCAGACGTGACGCTTGGCATTCAGGCCAAAGAGTTCAATCTTGGTTTCATCAGACCAGAGAATCTTGTTTCTCATGATCTGAGAGTCTTTAGGTGCCTTTTGGCAAACTCAAAGTGGGATGTCATGTGCGTTTTACTGAGGAGTGGCTTCCGTTTGGCCACTCTACCATAAAGGCCTGATTGGTGGAGTGCTGCAGAGATGGTGGTCCTTCGGGAAGGTTCTCCCATCTCCACAGAGGAACTCTGGAGCTCTGTCAGAGTGACTATCGGGTTCTTAGTCACCTCCCTGACCAAGGCCCTTCTTCCCCGATTGCTCAGTTTGGCCGGGCGGCCAGCTCTAGGAAGAGTCTTGGTGGTTCCAAACTTCTTCCATTTAAGAATGATGGAGGCCACTGTGTTCTTGGGGACCTTCAATGCTGCAGAAATGTTTTGGTACTCTTCCCCAGATCTGTGCCTCGACCCAATCCTGTCTCTGAGCTCTACCGACAATTCCTTCAACCTCATGGCTTGGTTTTTGCTCTGACATGCACTGTCAACTGTGGGACCTTATATAGACAGGTGTGTGCCTTTCCAAATAATTTCCAATCAATTGAATTTACCACAGGTGGACTCCAATCAAGTGTAGAAACATCTCAAGGATGATCAATGGAAACAGGATGCACCTGAGCTCAATTTCGAGTCTTATAGCAAAGGGTCTGAATACTTATGTATGTTTTTATACATTTTATATATATATATATATATACATCTGAAAAACTTTCTAAAAATCAGCTTTCGCTTTGTCATTATGGAGTATTGTGTGTAGATTGATGATGAAAAACATTTATTTAATCAATTTTAGAATAAGGCTGTGTAACGTAACAAAATGTGGAAAAACTCAAAGGGTCTGAATACTTTCCGAATGCACTGTACATCTGTAAATCATATACTCATCTGGGATCAGATATGTACAGTGCTTACGTACATAAATACATTATTTAGTGGGTTGTAATGTTACCACATGCTTTGATCTTAGTGTATGGTAGTAGCCTACACACACACACACACACATCAGATTAACCCAGTGGTGCAACTCCTCTGAGCAGCCCCATCAATCTCCTCTCCAGTAAAACTCATAGCTTGTAGAGGCGCTATGAAGCTATGAGAGGTTAAGGCTGTTATTGTAACATCCCCAGACAGAGATCAGCTCAAAACTAAAGTGATTAATTACCCAGGAGCTGGAAACTGCTGTGCTCTGATTATTTCTCTAATGATGGACATTTGACATTAACATTACAGTTAATATGGATGTGGTTTCCCCCTGAGTATCCGCTCATGGGGTTTAAGCAGACAATCATATTCAGAACTTGTTCATAAAGGAACTTCATTTAATTCACAATTCACACTCAATCATAATATTGGCGTACTCGCGGGAAGGCCACGTATAACTATCGGAAGGCACCCGCGCGCACACACATAACTTTGACAAAACAGGTGCTCTGGTCCAAGGCAACTAACAACAGGAATGCCGGGAAGCTGTGAAATATCTAGCTAGCTAGCTACCTCCTCATTTGACTGAAGACTAAGCTACTACCTTGCATTCAGGCAACCTAGCTAGCTAGCTACATTGCAAACTCTTAGTTAATGTTAGCCCTCGTGGGATATCAGAAAATAGTTAGCTAGCTAGCTAGTGATTAGGTTAGCTTAGTCATCTAACTAGCTAGCTAAAGAAAAACATTTGGTATAACCACCAAGTCATGTAAAATGTGTCAAATAATTGATTTCCTCACATTAGCTAGCTAAATTGCTTTCTCAAACAGGTTTCCAATTATTGGATCCTCAGTTCCCCTGTTGCACCTCTGGCTCCAAAATCTAAATGAATGTTGGATCTTTGAACCACCACCTAAGTGTTCCATCATTTGCTAAATTGCGTTAATTTTAGTTTGTGACATTTGGAGGGTGTGGTTAACAAAAACTAAGAATTTCCAAATGTTTGTTTGAAAGTATTTTGCAGTTTGAGTTTTAAAAAAGAATTTGTTTGTTCAACAAAACTCATCTTGAAAATATTTATGGCCGCCATGCACGTCCTGTACATTTTAGTTTAGACATGAAGTGCTTCCTATGTGGCAACGAAAAATGTACAGTTTCTTCTCACATTCAATGTAGGAATTCTACCTGGGACCCACAAGCCACAAATAACCTTTATTTTAAAGTGTAGACTAAAGCACATTTGACACAGATGAGGAGCTCCAAGAACTAAACCGCAAACAATCACATTTGATGGAAATAAATAAAGTGAAGTGGCTGGATCACTGTGCTGGTACTGAAGATCTCGTACAACGCTGTGTACTACTCCCTTCACAGAACAGCGCAAACTGGCTCTAACCAGAATAGAAAGAGGAGAGGGAGGCCCCGGTGCACAACTGAGCAAGAGGACAAATACATTAGAGTGTCTAGTTTGAGAAACAGACGCCTCACAGGTCCTCAACTTTTTTCACCTTTATTTAACCAGGTAAGCCAGTTAAGAACAAGTTCTCATTTACAACTGCGACCTGGCCAAGATAAAGCAAAGCAGTGCGATAAAAACAACAACACAGAGTTACATATGGGGTAAACAAAACATAAAGTCAAAAATATAACAGAAAATATACAGTGGGGGAAAAAAGTATTTAGTCAGCAACCAATTGTGCAAGTTCTCCCACTTAAAAAGATGAGAGAGGCCTGTAATTTTCATCATAGGTACACGTCAACTATGACAGACAAAATGAGTAAAGAAAATCCTGAAAATCACATTGTAGGATTTTTTATGAATTTATTTGCAAATTATGGTGGAAAATAAGTATTTGGTCAATAACAAAAGTTTCTCAATACTTTGTTATATACCCTTTGTTGGCAATGACACAGGTCAAACGTTTTCTGTAAGTCTTCACAGGGTTTTCACACACTGTTGCTGGTATGTTGGCCCATTCCTCCATGCAGATCTCCTCTAGAGCAGTGATGTTTTGGGGCTGTCGCTGGGCAACACAGACTTTCAACTCCCTCCAAAGATTTTCTATGGGGTTGAGATCTGGAGACTGGCTAGGCCACTCCAGGACCTTGAAATGCTTCTTATGAAGCCACTCCTTCATTGCCGGGCGGTGTGTTTGGGATCATTGTCATGCTGAAAGACCCAGCCACATTTCATCTTCAATGCCCTTGCTGATGGAAGGAGGTTTTCACTCAAAATCTCACGATACATGGCCCCATTCATTCTTTCCTTTACACGGATCAGTCGTCCTGGTCCCTTTGCAGAAAAACAGCCCCAAAGCATGATGTGCATTTGGATCATCCAAATGCACTCTAGCAAACTTGAGACGGGCCTGGACATGTACTGGCTTAAGCAGGGGGACACGTCTGGCACTGCAGGATTTGAGTCCCTGGTGGCGTAGTGTGTTACTGATGGTAGGCTTTGTTACTTTGGTCCCAGCTCTCTGCAGGTCATTCACTAGGTCCCCCCGTGTGGTTCTGGGATTTTTGCTCACCGTTCTTGTGATCATTTTGACCCCACGGGGTGAGATCTTGCGTGGAGCCCCAGATCGAGGGAGATTATCAGTGGTCTTGTATGTCTTCCATTTCCTAATAATTGCTCCCACAGTTGATTTCTTCAAACCAAGTTGCTTACCTATTGCAGATTCAGTCTTCCCAGCCTGGTGCAGGTCTACAATTTTGTTTCTGGTGTCCTTTGACAGCTCTTTGGTCTTGGCCATAGTGGAGTTTGGAGTGTGACTGTTTGAGGTTGTAGACAGGTGTCTTTTATACTGATAACAAGTTCAAACAGGTGCCATTAATACAGGTAACGAGTGGAGGACAGAGGAGCCTCTTAAAGAAGAAGTTACAGGTCTGTGAGAGCCAGAAATCTTGCTTGTTTGTAGGTGACCAAATACTTATTTTCCACCATAATTTGCAAATAAATTCATGAAAAATCCTACAATGTGATTTTCTGGATTTTTTTTCTCAATTTGTCTGTCATAGTTGACGTGTACTTATGATGAAAATTACAGGCCTCTCTCATCTTTTTAAGTGGGAGAACTTGCACAATTGGTGGCTGACTAAATACTTTTTTCCCCCACTGTATATACAGTGTGTGCGAATGGAGGTAAGGCAATAAATAGGCCATAGTGCGAAATAGTTACAATTTCGTATTAACACTGGAATGATAGATGTGCAAAAGATGATGTGCAAATAGAGATACTGGGGTGCAAATTAGCAAAATAAATAACAATATGGGGATGAGGTAGTTGGGTGGGCTAATTTCAGAAAGACTGTGTACAGGTGCAGTGATCGGTAAGCTGCTCTGACAACTGATGCTTAAAGTTAGTGAGGGAGATAAGAGTCTCCAGGTTCAGAGATTTTTGCAGTTTGTTCCAGTCATTGGCAGCAGAGAACTGGAAGGAATGGCGGCCAAAGGAGGTGTTGGCTTTGCCGATGACCAGTGAGATATATCTGCTGGAGCGCAGACTACGGGTGGGTGCTGCTATGGTGACCAGTGAGCTAAGATAAGACGGGGATTTGCCTAGCAGTGATTTATAGATGACCTGGAGCCAGTGGGTTTGGCGACGAATATGTAGTGAGGGCCAGCCAACAAGAGCGTACAGGTCACAATTGTGGGTAGTATATGGGGCTTTGGTGACAAAACGGATGGCACTGTGATAGACTACATCCAATTTGCTGAGTAGAGTGTTGGAGGCTATTTTGTAAATGACATCGCCGAAGTCAAGGATCGGTAGGATAGTCAGTTTTACGAGGGCATGTTTGGCAGCATGAGTGAAGGAGGCTTTGTTGCGAAATAGGAAGCCGATTCTAGATCTAACTTTTGATTGGAGATGCTTAATGTGAGTCTGGAAGGAGAGTTTACAGTCTAACCAGACACCTAGGTATTTGTAGTTGTCCACATACTCTAGGTCAGACCCGCCGAGAGTAGTGATTCTAGTCGGGTGGGCGGGTGCAAGCAGCGTTCGGTTGAAGAGCATGCATTTAGTTTTACTAGTGTTTAAGAGCAGTTGGAGGCTACGGAAGGAGTGTTGTATGGCGCTGAAGCTCATTTGGAGGTTTGTTAACACAGTGTCCAATGAAGGGCCAGATGTATACAAAATGGTGTCGTCCGCATAGAGGTGGATCCGAGCGTCACCAGCAGCAAGAGCGACATCATTGATATACACAGAGAATAGAGTCGGACCGAGAATTGAACCCTGTGGCACCCCCATAGAGACGGCCAGAGGTCCAGACTACAGGCCCTCCGATTTGACACATTGAACTCTATCTGAGAAGTAGTTGGTGAACCAGGCGAGGCAGTCATTAGAGAAACCAAGGCTATTTAGTCTGCCAATAAGAATGCGGTGGTTGACAGAGTCGAAAGCCTTGGCCAGGTCGATGAAGATGGCTGCGCAGTACTGTCTTTTATCGATCGCGTTTATAATATCGTTTAGGACCTTGAGCATGGCTGAGGTGCACCCATGACCAGCTCGGAAACCGGATTGCATAGCGGAGAAGGTACGGTGGGATTCGAAATGGTCGGTGATCTGTTTGTTAACTTGGCTTTCAAATACTTTCGAAAGGCAGGGCAGGATCGATAAAGGTCTATAACAGTTTGGAACTAGAGTGTCACCCCCTTTGAAAAGGGGGATGACCGCGGCAGCTTTCCAATCTCTGGGGATCTCAGACATTACGAAAGAGAGGTTGAACAGGCTAGTAATAGGGGTGCGACAATTTCGGTGGCTAATTTTAGAAAGAAAGGGTCCAGATTGTCTAGCCCAGATGATTTGTAGGGGTTCCGGTTTTTGCAGCTCTTTCAGAACATCAGCAGTCTGAATTTGTGTGAAGAAGAAGCAGGGGGGGCATGGGCAAGTTGCAGCGGAGGGTGCAGAGCTGGTGTCCGGGGTAGTGGTAACCAGGTGGAAAGCATGGCCAGCCGTAGCAAAATGCTTGTTGAAATTCTCAATTATTGTAGATTTATCGGTGGTGACAGTGTTTCCTAGCCTCAGTGCAGTGGGCAGTTGGGAGGAGGTGCTCTTGTTTTTCCATGGACTTTACAGTGTCCCAAAACTTTTTGGAATTAGTGCTACAGGATGCACATTTCTGTTTGAAAAAGCTAGCCTTTGCTTTCCTAACTGATTGTGTATATTTGTTCCTGACTTCCCTAAAAAGTTGCATATCGCGGGTGCTGTTCGATGCTAATGCAGTACGCCACAGGATATTTTTGTGCTGGTCAAGGGCAGTCAAGTCTCAGAAGAACCAGGGGCTTTATCTGTTCTTAGTTCTGAATTTTTTGAATGGGGCATGCTTATTTAAGATTGAGAGGAAAGCACTTTTAAAGAACAACCAGGCATCCTCTACTGACAGAATGAGGTCAATATCCATCCAGGATACCCGGGCCAGGTCAATTAGAAAGGCCTGCTCGCTAAAGTGTTTTAGGGAGCGTTTGACAGTGATGAGGGGTGGTCATTTGATCGCGGACCCATTACGGACGCAGGCAATAAGGCAGTGATCGCTGATATCCTGGTTGAAGACAGCGGAGGTGTATTTAGAGGGTAAATTTGTCAGGATGATATCTATGAGGGTGCCCATGTTTACAGATTTAGGGTTGTACCTGGTAGGTTCGTTGATAATTTGTGTGAGATTGAGGGCATCTAGTTTAGATTGTAGGTTGGCCGGGGTGTTAAGCATATTCCAGTTTAGGTCACCAAGCAGTACGAACTCTGAGGATAGATGGGGGGCAATCAGTTCACATATGGTGTCCAGGGCACAGCTCGGGGCTGAGGGGGGTCTGTAGCAAGCGGCAACAGTGAGAGACTTATTTCTGGAAAGGTGGATTTTTAGAAGTAGAAGCTCAAACTGTTTCGGCACAGACCTGGATAGTACGATATTGCTCTGCAGGCTATCTCTACAGTAGATTGCAACCCCAACCCCTTTGGCAGTTCTATCAAGACGGAAAATGTTGTAGTTGGGGATGGAAATGTCTGAATTTTTGGTGGCCTTCCTAAGCCAGGATTCAGACACTGCTAGAACATCAGGGTTGGCGGAGTGTGCTAACGCAGTGAATAACTCAAACTTAGGGAGGAGGCTTCGGATGTTAACGTGCAAGAAACCAAGGCTTTTACGATTACAGAAGTCAACAAATGATAACGCCTGGGGAGTAGGAGTGATTCTGGGGGCTACAGGGCCTGGGTTAACCTCTACATCTGTCACGGATTCGGCCGAGGCTGCTCCTCCTCCTTGCTTGGGCAGGCTTCGGCGTTCGTCGTCCCCGGAGTACTAGCTGCCACCGTTGAATGTTATCGATGTTTGTTTGGTTTTGTCTTCCTTGTACACCTGTTTCCATTTAGTGTTCATTATGTCCCCTATAAGTTTCTCGTTTTGTTTGTAGTTAGTTGTGTGTAATTGTACGCCTGTCTGTTGGGGTTTGTTGGTTTTTGCATTCTCGTGTTCAAGAGTAGTTTCGCACTGTTTGCGCATCTCTTGTATTTAGTGTTTTACGCACAGTCTGCGTATCACTCGCCTCCGTCGTTTCAGGCTCTTTATTTTGTATTTGTCCTTTTCCTGACTAGTAAAGTCTGTTTGGATTAAGCTTCTGTGTCCTGCGCCTGACTCCACCACCACATCGACATCAGTACCACTGACAGAATTACACACCATTATGGAGTCAGCAGGAGCAGCAGCGGCACCCGAGTCGCTGGAGGATCGAGTCAGCGGTCAAGACGCCAGGATCCAGCAACTCGGATCCGCCCTGCATGAGGTGATCAACACTCTGCACCGATGCGAGACCGGAGGAGTGCCCACACCTCCTCCAACCTTACCACCACCATCGGTCAGTCCTCCCATCCCAGCTCTGGAATCCAGTGGGATTCGGCTCTCGCTCCCGAGGACGTATGATGGCACTGCAGCCGGGTGTCAGGGGTTCCTCCTGCAGGTGGAACTATACCTGGCCACCATACACCCGGCGCCCTCGGGATACCAGAGCGTTTCCGCCCTCATCTCCTGTCTCTCCGGCAAGGCGTTGGAGTGGGCCAACGCCGAATGGAGGGGAATAGATGCCGCCACCATCACCTACGCGGAGTTCTCCCGCCGCTTCAGGGCAGTGTTCGACCATCCACCTGAGGGGAAAGCGGCGGGGTAGCGTCTATTCCACCGCCGACAGGGGAAGAGGAGCGCACAGGAGTTCGCCCTGGAATTCCGGACTCTAGCGGCGGATGCGGGGCGGAATGAGCGGGCCCTCATCGACCACTATCGATGCAGTCTACGGGAGGACGTTCGTCGAGAGCTGGCCTGCAGGGACACCAACCTATCGTTCGACCAGTTGGTGGACATGTCCATCCGTCTCGATACCCTGCTGGCCACCCGCGGACGTCCCGAGTTGGGGCCGTCCATTCCACCCTCCAGCACCTCCGAGCCGAGCCCTATGGAGCTCGGGGGTGCTGGCGCTAGAGAGAGGAGGAGAGGGAGCCCGAGGGGGGCCGTCCCCTGCACCAACTGTGGCCGTGGAGGGCACACTGCGGCTAGGTGCTGGGGAGGGTCTCCAGGGGGACGGGACAACAGGCCACGCACTGGGGAGTCATTTCAGGTGAGTAGGCGCCCCACTTACCCAGAGCTCTCTGTTGTTCACTTATGTATACCTGTAAGATTTCCTCAGGTTGCACCTCATTCCCAGCATAAGGCGCTAGTCGATTCAGGCGCAGCTGGGAATTTTGTTGATCGGAATTTTTGTGTAAGGTTAGGGATTCCCCTCCTTCCTGTTGATACTCCCTTCCCTGTCCATGCACTAGATAGCCGCCCGTTGGGATCGGGGTTGATTAGAGAGGTCACAGCACCACTTAAGATGAGTACGCAGGGGGTTCATGAGGAAACTATTCAGTTATATTTGATCGACTCTCCTGCGTATCCTCTGGTGCTGGGGCTTCCCTGGTTAATTACCCATAATCCCTCCATTTTGTGGCAACAGAGGGCTCTCAAGGAGTGGTCTGCCCAGTGTGTAGGGCGATGTCTAGGTGTTTCCGTGGGGGCGACCTCGGTGGAGAGTCCGAACTAAGTGCCCGCAATGCACATTCCCCCTGAGTATGAGGATTTAGCACTCGTGTTTAGCAAAACGAGGGCGACGCGGTTGCCTCCTCATAGACAGGGGGATTGTGCGATAGACCTCCAGACAGGAGCAGCGCTTCCGCGGAGCCATGTGTATCCTCTGTCTCAAGAGGAGAAGGTGGCTATGGAGACAAACACATACGGCCCTCCACTTCCCCTGCGTCCTCAAGTTTCTTTTTTGTGAAGAAGAAGGATGGAGGGTTGCGCCCGTGTATTGATTACCGTAGTCTCAATCAGATCACTGTGAAATACAGTTATCCACTCCCTCTGATTGCGAGTATGACGGAATCATTACACAGAGCGCGTTTCTTCACCAAACTGGATCTCAGGAGCGCCTACAACTTGGTGCGCATTAGGGAGGGAGATGAATGGAAGACAGCATTTAGTACCACCTCGGGTCATTATGAGTATCTCGTCATGCCATACGGGTTAATGAATGCTCCTTCAGTCTTCCAATCCTTTGTGGACGAGATCTTCCGGGACATGCATGTGCAAGGTGTGGTAGTGTACATTGACGACATTCTAGTGTACTCTTCTACACGAGCCGAGCATGTAGCCCTGGTGCGCCGAGTGTTGGGGAGGCTGATGGAGCACAACTTGTATGTCAAGGCAGCGAAATGTCTGTTTTTCCAGGAGCCTTTCTCATTTTTGGGTTATCGGTTGTCCGCGTCAGGGGTGAAGATGGAGGTTGACCGTGTGTCAGCCGTGCGTAATTGGCAAACCCCAACCACGGTTAAAGAGGTGCAGCAGTTTTGGGGTTTTGCCAATTACTACCGGAGGTTTATCTGGGGTTTTGGACAGGTGGCAGCTCCCATAACTTCCCTGCTGAAGGGGGGCCCGGTGCGTTTGCAGTGGTCAGCTGAGGCGGACAGGGCATTTGGGAGACTGAAGGACCTGTTCACTTCGGCTCCGGTGCTGGCGCATCCGGACCCCGCTTTACCATTCCAGGTAGAGGTGGACGCGTCAGAGGCCGGTATTGGGGCCGTACTGTCGCAACGGTCCGGCACGCCACCTAAACTCCGCCCCTGTGCTTTTTATTCCAAGAAGCTCAGCCCAGCGGAGCGAAATTATGACGTAGGGGACAGGGAGCTGTTAGCCGTGGTACAGGCCCTAAAGGTGTGGAGGCATTGGCTTGAGGGGGCTCAACACCCTTTTCTCATTTTGACTGACCACCGTAACCTGGAGTACATCCGGGCAGCTAGGAGATTGAACCCTCGTCAGGCTCGGTGGAACATGTTTCTAGCCCGGTTCGTATTTAAAATAACTTACATCCCTGGGTCCCAGAACGGTAAGGCAGACGCCCTGTCCCGGCGGTATGACACAGAGGAGAGGTCCATTGAGCCCACTCCCATACTGCCAGAGTCTTGTCTGGTGGCACCGGTGGTGTGGGAGGTCGATGCGGAAATCGAGCGGGCGTTGCGTACCGACCCTAGTCCCCCAGAGTGTCCTGTGGGTCGGACGTACGTTCCGCTCAAGGTTCGGGATTGTCTGATTTATTGGGCTCATACGTCCCCCTCCTCTGGACATCCAGGTATTGGCCAGACAGTGCACTGCCTTAGCGCTAAGTACTGGTGGCCAACGTTAGCTAGGGATGTGAGGGTTTATGTCTCCTCCTGCTCGGTGTGCGCCCAGTGTAAGGCGCCTAGACACCTGCCCAGGGGGAAGTTACAACCCCTGCCCGTTCCACAACGGCCATGGTCTCACCTCTCGGTGGATTTTGTTACAGACCTTCCCCCATCTCAGGGGAATACCACTATACTGGTCATTGTGGATCGGTTCTCTAAGGCCTGTCATCTCCTCCCAATGCCGGGTCTCCCTACTGCCCTACAAACCGCTGAGGCACTGTTCACCCACGTCTTTCGGCACTACGGGGTGCCCGAGGATATAGTGTCTGATCGAGGTCCCCAGTTCACCTCCAGAGTCTGGAGGGCGTTCATGGAGCGCTTGGGGGTCTCGGTGAGCCTTACCTCGGGGTACCACCCAGAGAGCAATGGGCAGGTAGAAAGAGTGAACCAGGATGTGGGTAGGTTTCTGAGATCTTATTGCCAGGGCCGGCCGGAGGAGTGGGCGAGGTATATCCCCTGGGCAGAGATGGCACAGAACTCTCTCCGCCACTCCTCCACCAACCTAACCCCTTTCCAGTGTGTGCTAGGGTATCAGCCGGTTCTGGCACCATGGCATCAGAGCCAGATCGAGGCTCCTGCGGTGGATGAGTGGGTGCGGCGCTCGGAGGAGACGTGGAACGCTGCACACGTCCATCTGCAGCGAGCCATCCGTCGACAAAAGGCGAGCGCCGATCTCCACCGCAGTGAGGGTCCTGGAGATCGAGTCTGGCTCTCGACTCGAAACCTGCCCCTCCGCCTGCCCTGCCGGAAGCTGGGTCGGCGGTTTGTGGGGCCATTTAAAGTCCTGAGGAGATTGAACGAGGTGTGTTACAGGTTACAACTGCCTATTGATTATCACATTAACCCCTCGTTCCATGTGTCTCTTCTCAGGCCGGTGGTAGCTGGTCCACTCCAGGACTGTGAGATAAGAGAGACTCCTCCACCCCCACTGGACATCGAGGGGGCTCCGGCGTACACAGTCCGGTCCATCTTGGATTCGAGACGTCGGATGGGGGGTCTCCAATATCTCGTGGAGTGGGAGGGGTACGGCCCGGAGGAACGGTGCTGGGTGCCGAGGAGGGACATCTTAGATCCATCCCTCCTGACTAAGTTCCACCGTGGTCATCCCACGCGCCCTGCTCCGCGTCCTCCTGGTCATCCCCGAGGCTGGGGTCGGCGCACGGCTGGAGCCGCGCGTCAAGGGGGGGGTACTGTCACGGATTCGGCCGAGGCTGCTCCTCCTCCTTGCTCGGGCAGGCTTCTGCGTTTGTCGTCCCCGGAGTACTAGCTGCCACCGTTGAATGTTATCGATGTTTGTTTGGTTTTGTCTTCCTTGTACACCTGTTTCCATTTAGTTTTCATTATGTCCCCTATAAGTTTCTCGTTTTGTTTGTAGTTAGTTGTGTGTAATTGTACGCCTGTCTGTTGGGGTTTGTTGGTTTTTGCATTCTCGTGTTCAAGAGTAGTTTCGCACTGTTTGCGCATCTCTTGTATTTAGTGTTTTACGCACGGTCTGCGTATCACTCGCCTCCGTCGTTTGAGGCTCTTTATTTTGTATTTGTCCTTTTCCTGACTAGTAAAGTCTGTTTGGATTAAGCTTCTGTGTCCTGCGCCTGACTCCACCACCACATCGACATCAGTACCACTGACAACATCACCAGAGGAACAGAGGAGGAGTAGAATAAGGATATTGCTAAAGGCTTTAAGTACTGGTCTTCTACTGCGTTGGGTACAGAGAAAAAAAGGGAAAGGTTTCCGGGCGTTGTAGAATAGATTCAGGGCATTATGCACAGAAAAGGATATGGAAGGATATGAGTACAGTGGAGGTAAACCTAAGCGTTGGGTTACGATGAAAGAGATAGCATCACTGGAGGCACCGATTGAGTCGGTCTCCACGTGTATGGGGGGTGGGACAAAGGAGCTATCTAAGGCAGGTTTAGCTGGGCTGGGGGATCTACAGTGAAATAGGACAATAAGAAATAACCAAAACAGCAATAAGCAAGGCATATTGACATGGGAGAGAGGCATAAAGCAATCACAGGTGTAATTCGAGAGAGCTAAGACAACAGCTGGTAATAGCGACAAAGTTTGGGCTGAGGCTAAACATAAACAGGATGCGGTACCGTAAAAAGGAACAGTCCAGCAGGCATCAGCTGTATAGCTGAGTTATCATAAGGTCCGGTGAACAGCAATAGGATAGTTCGGAGGTAGATTCAGGGGCTGCTATAGCACTAGCAAGCAAGAGGCCACGGCTAGCGTGTGCTAGCGGGCCGGGGCTAGCAGATGGATCTCCGTGGTCGACGTCGTAATGGGAAGCCTGTTGTAACCACATCAGACGATTTCATCGGCAGACCAGTCGTGTAGGATCGGCGGGGCTCCGTGTCAACACTAGGAGGTCCCGTCCGGTTAACAGAGAGGTAGATAGCCGGGAGATGGGCCTGGCTCAAGGCTAACTCAAGGCTGATTAGCCAACCACAAACGTCCATTTGGTTGCAGCTAGCTAGTAGTGATGAATCCGGTGTTAAAGGTTCAGTGATTCCGGCAGAAAAACCGATATGTCAGGGTCGATAACGCGCTGTGCAGACAGTGCAGACTGGCCAAATAATAGTCCAGGCTAGAGCTGGCTGGCAGGTAGGTAGTGCAGTACCCGCAAAACACCAGTCTCAACGTCAATAGTGAAGAGGCGACTCCGGGATGCTGACCTTCTAGGCAGAGTTCAAAAGAAAAAGCCATATCTCAGATTGCCCATCTTAATCTTTTCATTTTATTGGCCAGTCTGAGATATGTATTTTTCTTTGCACTGTTCTGTGAAGGGAGTAGTACACAGCATTGTACAAGATCTTCAGTTTCTTTGCAATTTCTCGCATGGAATAGCCTTCATTTCTCAGAACAAGAATAGACTGACGAGTTTCAGAAGAAAGTTCTTTGTTTCTGGCCATTTTGAGCCTGTAATCGAATCCACAATTGCTGATGCTCCAGATACTCAACTAGTCTCAAGAAGGCCAGTTCTATTGCTTCTTTAATCAGCACAACCATTTTCAGCTGTGCTAACATAATTGCAAAATAGTTTTCTAATGATCAATTAGCCTTTTAAAATGATAAACTTGGATTAGCAAACACAACGTGTCATTGGAACACAGGACTGATGTTTGCTGATAATGGGCCTCTGTTCTCTCTCTCTTTCTCCATCTCTCTCTTCATCTCCAAGATGGCCTGGCCATGTTCCGTAGCTTCCTGCGCTCTGAGTTCAGTGAGGAGAACATTGAGTTCTGGGTGGCCTGCGAGGACTTCAAGAAGACCAAGTCTCCCATGAAGATGGCTGTGAAAGCCAAGAAGATCTATGAGGACTTCATCCAGACCGAGGGACCCAGAGAGGTGACAGAAAATGTGGCCAGCAAATCTGTGGTTGTATTTGTTGTGGAAGCCCAGACTTACCTTTGCCTTTCTGTCGCCCTCTCTCTCTCTCTCTCTCTCTCTCTCTCTCTCCTATAGCTCTCTCTCTACGCTCTCTATCTCTCTCTCTCTACTCTCTCTCTATCTCACGCTATCACTGCTCTCGCTCTCTCATCTCTCTCTCTCTCTCTCTCTATCTCTCTCTCTCTCTCTCTCTCTCTCTCTCTCTGTCTCTCTCTTCCTCCCTCCAGGTGAACATTGATCATTACACCAAGGATGTGACCCTGAGGAACCTGGTTGATCTTTCCCCCGTGACCTTTGACCTGGCCCAGAAGAGAATTTATGCTCTGATGGAGAAGGACTCCTTCGGCCGCTTCCTGAGATCTGAGCAGTACCAGGAGCTGGTCAAATAAGGAGATGGTCGCAGAATAAGGGTCAATTCCAAACCAATTGGATATCATTTGAAGTGGTTGAAATTAGGCCTTTTTAAAATAATTTGAAGGAATTGACCCAGGCGAGACTGCAGGTTTGATAACTAAGGACCATCATAAAGATTGATCTAATTCTAGACCAACTTGAATCCATATTTCAAATGACTTCTATATTTGTCTTATCTACCTGCAGCCAATCAAAATGTCACACGTCAATTCAAAATGTAAAGAGTGTAGAACATACAATGTGACAGTATTTGTTAAATGCTTGAGAGACAAACAAACCATCAATCAATTAAACAGTGATTTAAACAAATACATTGGAACATCACAATCTCTTGGGAAGATAAACCAAAGGTCATAAATATTGCAGAGAAAATCTCTCGCAATGATTTTGTCCCATCTTCTAAATAAAAAGGAAGATCCTAGACAGACAGATAGACAGACCATATTTGTACGTCATAGCTTTCCCAGGAAACAAACAGAAGTGGCTTTCAAAGTTTCAGGAGGGAACAATCTGACCTCTGCCTTGAGACTCTTAGTGACACATGCAGTACCCATCAAGTGTTCTAAATGGAGGGGAAATGGTGAGGGACTTGGCCACTCTAGCATTCACACAGCCAAGTGGTAAACAGTTTATAAACAACAGACATAGAAACCAAGTGTCTTGAGTAGCTGTGAGTTGGCTCCAACATGCTCTAAGGCCATCCTTGGGATCAGTGGTAGGCAGTTTGTTCAGTGGGTCACGGGCCACTGTTTTGTAAGTTGCTAAGATGGGAATACCAAGTAGGAGTGGATCTCAGAAAATAAAAGAACTCAGTATTTTCTCCAGGTAATTATTTTATACCCATTTGAACTTATTGAAAGTAGGCATAAATTCATTCCATCTTAGGTCATTTCAGCCAGTCATTTCACCTACAGATAGTCATGAAGCAAAGGAGATGAGGAAAGGACACATATGCAATACAACAACATTATAACGTTTAGGGACTTTACTACACTAACCAAAGGGAAATATATGCACTCCATTATTGACTAATCTTATCCAGTATTCCAGCTTTCAGCATTTTTGTCACTCACCATTCACTATAATAACTAGACTTCACAGCTTTCATAGTCGGAGAAGAAGATGGTTTTGAGGGTGGAGGAGGTATTTTGTTATGCAAAGGGTCTCTCAGTCCCATGTAGTATTAATATATAATTACCTTACAGTGTGTTTCTATAATGCTCTTGCATGTTTTTATGTATTTGAGGAGTGCAGCTGTCATAGCCATATCATTGAAGTACTATTACACAAATACTCAATACCTTAATAAGTCCTTATTGTTGCCCCATACAGCATAATTTGACTTGCTGCAACACTGCAGGTCAGGAGTTGACAATTATGGTCATTATAATTAACTGATTTTCCAATTTATGTTCATTTGAAGCTAAAGTGACAAAATGTTAGATCACATACTTTGTAATCACTTGACATCATATAGTAATTTAGAGTTTAGTAACAATACCAACACAAAAAAAACATGTTTCTAAAGTGGCATTGATAAGGGTATCCAGTTGCATAGATTGGCCAATCTACTGCTATTGCCCAAGATGTCATGCCTTCAGTGAAAACACTCAATGAAAACATCAGTAAGGACTTATGTGGTGCTAAATTAATATCTGACGCATAAAGCCTGTGCATGTATTATTTGTAGTCAACAACATAAAAGGCATCAATACATTAAATTCCTGAAGATGTATTTATTTTTCTATGTAAATACAGTATCTACCAGTATTTAGTAGTATTTGTGTTGATTAAGTTATTCACGACTACCCCACTGGAATGAATGGGTGTTGTGGCCAAGAGAGCACTTGGGTCCAGGAGTATCCAGGAGAGAACTGTGTCTTTTCATTGTCATAAAAGAGAAAACATCTGACTATCTATTGTCACTCTGTTTTTGTTATCCAATATTGGAGTATTTCTTACACTTTTTGTGATCACAAGTTTATCATTTACTGAAAACATCTCTCAACATAGTACCCAAGAGAAGGCCTACACAAGGATTACACAAGCGTATTTGTTTCTTATAAACACCAAGTGTTTGTGTGATGACATAAGGGATATTTATTACACTCATACATACAAATAACCATTTAAAACCCTAGAGGAGAGATGAGGATGATAAATCCCATTGAAAATAAACACCCACTATGAAATTGTCCAACAACAAAACACGCAGCTTCCTGAGGCAGAGTTAGCTAGCGTCCTTACTCTTGACTTCTCTTTTTCCCACACGGAGAGAGAGAGTGTTTTTCTTCTTCAGAAAAAAGTGTGTCAGTCGGACCCGGGAGGAGTGCATCGTTCGCCGGCGAGCTAATGAAAATGTCAGATTAGCGAGGGGAAACAGAGAGGAAGCAGATGCACTCTGGGAGATACAGCCAACACAAACAGTGTTAAGTCCTAACATGTATACACTCCTTATTACGGTCACAGTTCCTAGAATCACTCGGAGAAGGGTTGTGATGGCCCCTTGGGGGCATCGGTGAACCTGATAGACATCTCGTTGGGTTTCTCTCTTTTCTTTTACATGTTCACTTCTTACACAGTAGCGGGTTCTGTCACGTGTTGACATTTACCCAAAGTTAGGTCATTGGAAAATATCAAGAATATCAGTCAGACATCTTGGTAAATCTTTATAATATAAATTTCATGAGCAAACCAACCCATTGTTTATAAGGAGTGTAAATACTATTAAAAGCCAGACCAGACAACATGACTTTATAATGTTAAGAAATAGCCAACATCTCTTTTTACTGCCTGGCCAAGCAACACCACTACCATTCCATGAACCATGCAGGCCCCCAGCCATATGTCCAAATATATACACAGAGGGTACACACAATGCTGGCCTGGAGATGACAACCCACACACCATGGACATGGGCAGATAGCACCTCAATGCTTCTTATGGTCATCTATTATACTGTTATACCATGCAACACGAAGAGATGGGTGATTACGACAAAAGCTAGGATTACCGAAACCTGAATCCTGCTTTAATAAATTATGTATTTACAAACGTAAGAAAAAGAGCTTTGCCTTCTCTCCTCATTTGAACTTTTGAACTGCTCCTAGTCTCTTAGTCTCTAGAAGCACAAGCTGGCTCATCCTACAGCATACAGTGAGGAATCTTCTCAGCTGAATTTATTCATCTGTCAAGGAACATCACCATCAAGACTTGGGAAGAAAACTAAACTGTGCTTCCTAGGGTCGCTAAGTTTAGATCCCATTGATGGATAGTGACCATAAACCTCAATATAATTGTAACACTTTATTTGGATAGTCCATCTGTAGATGCTCTACAGACTATCTACAGACTATCAGTAACATTTCAACTAACTATCTACTAACCCTAGCCCAAACATTAACCCTTATCCTAACACTAAACTTAACCCTAACCGTAACCTTTGCAAGCAGTGGCTTATCAACAGATAGTTGGTTGATAGTATGACCATCTGTAGAGCGTCTACAGATGAACTATTCAAATAAAGTGTGACCAATATGATTGATGTTTACAATAGCTTTCTGAGAGCATAGTGAGCTTCTTACTCACTTGGCTCCACTTCAAAGACTATAATGTTCTGTCCCTTTCACTGACATAGTCTGTAACATATGCAGGCACACACACACACACACACACACACACACACACACACACACACACACACACACACACACACACACACACACACACACACACACAGACACACACACACACACACTGAGGTTATTCATACCTGATAACTCTGTGGCAATAACTCCAGAACTTTCTCATGAATGCTCTGAAAACAGTTCGGGTTTAAACACTGACGGTAAAATAGCAATGAATAATTTTATGAAAGATGAAAGACAGAACAAACAGCACATTTTAACTTCATTCTTATTAATTCAGATTCATATTGTCAAGAGCCAGGGGGCAAAGGAGCCGGGGGGGGGGGGGGGGGGGGGGGGGGGGGGGGGGGGCAGGGGGGACATGTCCTCCCAGAGTAAGGCTCCAGAGCTGCAGGCCCCCAGAACTCCAGAGATGCAGAGCTGCAGCCTGGAGGAGTCAGTGTGATGACATTACTAACACCAGGCCCTCTCTGTTACTCTGTAACAGACCTGCATGGCTTCTGTCCTGCCTGCAGCTACAGAGACACAGAGAGGAGAGGAAACAGAGGGAAAGAGAACAGAGAGAGGAAGCGAGAACCGAGGGAGAGAAAGAGAAAGAGAGAGAGAATAATTGGGAAAAAAGAGAGAGAACAGAAGAGATAGGTTACCAATGACATAGAGATTATCCATGCATCCAGAGCCCCACGAAGCACTCTAGCATAGGGTTGTGGCGGTCATTAAATTTTGTCAGCAGGTGATTGTCAAGCAAATAACTGCCGGTCTCACGGTAATTGACCGTTAATTAACATAAACAAGTTTAGCATCTCCTGGCTTCCACGCATAGTCTACAAGCCACTGATGCAGACCTTTGGAACATCTACATTTAAAAAAGTATAATAAATCAATTTAATATAGCCTACACCATCACAATAAATCCATTATTTATTTTAGACAGGTCTAAAGAAACATGATATGAAGACAATGTATTCTATTTCAGACGAACAGAATAGCATACTCTGAGTTAGGCCCTGATATGGCTATGCCATATGGCTGTGGGCTACACTAGTTCATTTAGCAGACAAGATTTGCTTAGAATTCATTAGTATTCTTTTTTATTATTTTATAGTATGAAGAATACAATTGAACATAGCCTAATAAAATAGAAAGGATATTTTCTCCAAATGATTTCAAAGGAAATGCGCACATGCGGCTATTCTGTATTGAGAGGTTAACAAAGAAACTGGTCCTCTTATATGCTTAATTTAGAGTTAAATATGCATCTTTAGTTGTGATACAAACATTGGGCTATATGTTTTGATTTTTAATACATTCTAAGGCTGCATGATGGGACTCTAATGATGATTTGAAAAAAGTTGCATGAAAGACATGAGCATGTTTCTTGTTCAAGCTGCTTACACTTCGTCAGTCTCACATTCACAATATGACAAGCACTTGATAATATTCTCACCAGGCCTCGAATTTCCCGGCAGCGTCCCCCTTGTGTGGCCACAATGCCCCCTAAAAAAATCCATACCTTTGCGGCCAAAGTGGCCGTTGTGCCCTTAAGCTGAATATAATAATTATAATTCCCTTCTCCCGGCTGTCGTGCTCCGAAGCGCCTCTCACTCACATGGCTCTCTCAGATATCTCGATTCTTATTAGCCAATGCCCGTCACGTGATCGGGTCCTTCTCACAGGCATTTCAGCTAAGAAGTAGGCTACAAGTGAATGACGACAGACACATCGGGGACGCAACTGCGCGTGTCCCTCTTATCGAATTCCGAGGCGCATATTGAAGATGTTACAACTGTCCACATTTAGCCTACTTTTCGTCAGCTAACAAGATGAGTAGGCCTAACGAACAGCAAAAGCACTAGCCTATGTCAATCTACTATCTATCCCCCATAGTACAAAAGTTGACCAGAAAGTGCAAGAAGTGCAAGAAATACGTATTCAAAACATAGTCTGGGACCGTTGTAGGATGCGATAGATCCCAAATTAATACAACCACTCACATCAAAAAACCTTTTAAAAGCAATGAGGCTGATGCAACAGATCAGAACGTTTAGCTTAAAATGTTGATAAACTATTAGGCTATTTCTTCACATTATAAGCACAGCAATGTGCACAAGGCAGTAGTCTATAAGCATGAATGTTCCAAAATGCAATCAATTAGCAGGAAAACACTGTTCTCGAAAGTGACTGCAAATGTGATTATGCATGTAATGCTTTCTTATAAAGGTGCATTTTTATGGTGAAAATTATCTTCCCCAAACTTAAAACCCACGCGCAGCCTGTGTATGCCAGTTATTTGGCCACTTTAGTTGCGATACAAACCTTATCAAAACATATAGGCCCATGGGCTAGGCTACCGCAAAAAAAAAGGCTTGCGCTGTGTCTTGCCTTACTGCACAAGCTGGGCATCATTCACAAATAATAATACATCATTTACAAGTGATAGGCTAATATTGTCACCCATCAGACTATTCTTGATTTAATCTTGTCTTTACATTTGCTAAATAATATATGTGTGAAATTAGTTTTGATTTAGAATGGACCATTATAATGCACCTGTCTCGGAACAGGGGCATGGGGGAAAAAAAATACATGTAATCTATGCACTTAAATAATGAATGGAGGACGCTTTTCCAGTGGTTCATTTTCATGCCATCCAGGTAGGCTATACTCCTGTTGTAAAGCGAAGCAATGTGCTTAACAATAGGAAAGTTGATAAATAAATCTAGTAGGCCGCATAGCCTATAGAAAGCTGATGGGATCCTCCTCTTTTTAATAGAGGCCATCAAAACTCTGTTTTCTCACACAATTGCATAGCGTAGCCTATAGAAATGTTGCGCAACATGAGCTTATGGGCTCTCATAAAGTGTTTGATTAGATTTTCGATTACATTTGCTAATGACCATCAGCAGCATCAGAGCTTGGAGAAGCCTAATTACTGTGACTAAACAGTCACGTGGAATTTGACTGCCATCATGACTCGTGACTGCCAGTGTGGCGGTAATACGATCACCGTAACAGCCCTACTCTGGCACATCCTCATTATTGGTGCATCTAATCAAACGAATGTCATAAACACAGACAAACACCCCTTCCATCCACCCACAAACAAACAAACGTCTACCCACCAGCGGTGTTGATAGGAAATTGTCCTAATGATTTTCGTCTAATATCTTCGACGGTCTGTTTTTATTCTCTTCCGTTGAGAAGAAGAGGTCAATGGTACTGCCACTGAATGTTAATAGAATATGATAGCAAGTTTGATCTTGGC